AAAAAACACAAAAACTATAAATGTTGCACAAATTACTGCCATTGCAACATTAGACAAAAAAAAAAAAAAAAAAAAAAAAAAGGATTAAGCAATTTGTCGATCGCGTCTGCCGCGGCGGCCTGTACCCTTACATACGCATCGGCATCAAGTATTTTTTTTTTCGTATAGATTTACAAGATCAGCTCAACTTATGTCAAAAACTGCAAAAAGCATTAACTGATAAAAATTAAAGCAATATAAATAGTATAGATCTTATGCATGAACTGCAGTTTTTTCAGACTTTTGGTGGAAATGTAGCATCGCCAGTTGAAACTCTGAACTATACCGTTGTCAACGTGCAGAAACGAATTTTGGATATATCCCTAGATTTCAGCCCTAGAGCATTTTTTGTGCCCTGTTGTAATCGCAGTTTGAATATTGTCGTAAACTATGCTGCGAACAACAGTTTATTCAGTGCAAACTTATCAGATATGTATATTAATTTGTTTTTAATTTTAAGATATGTTCAGCAATATATTTGGTATGCAATGCGTTTAGTATATTATTTCACTTCGCTTGCATTGTTACGTTTTTGTAACATGTTGTTGACTAATGTTCGCTTGTCTTACCTTTAGTCAGCCTAAACCCATGAAATTCCTCGTGGCAAGGAGCGCAAGATACGCCTGTCGTTGGCAACAGCCTTGAGCACCTTACAGGTGACAATGCGATTTAGCTCAGTTTCGCCCCAATTTTGATGGAGAGCATCCTGGAGGGACGGGACCGAGAGTCTCCCGCCCATCTTCTCCTACTACCAACCTTTCGAAAAGGACTTTCGCCTCGCATATTTAGAGTGCCCCCATGCCGCACGGACACTATACATTTACAAACATCCATGCCGTCTCCGAGATTCGAACCTGGGCCCTTCCGTACCGCAGTAAGCAATGTTAACCACTATACCGGGAGGCTTTTTATAACATAAATGCATGTATAATTCTTCAATAAATATGTTTGAGTGTAGGTTTTAACAGAGCACGAAATGTTTTAATATTTAGACAAATTTAAAGATAAAATATAATTTTAATAGTTTTTCATATTATTATGTTAATAATACTTCATTTAAATGCTAACCATAAGCAATGTCCCTTTAATATCGTCACTGCATAAAGGCGCTCGCTAGACATTTGCACGACGGCGCCGATTAGGCTTGGCGCGGGCCTGGAAACAACTAAATACATTCATTGTACCTTTCATTAAGATTTGACATGCATTATCAGCGCAGTATGTGGTCAGTGTGTTTGGTTTCCCTACAGCCCAAATAAGTCCTTTTTCTACCATCCCGAAAGACACTCTGTTCTTAAATTAGCATCATCACAATAGAAAATCACAGTTGTTTCTGGTTTTGAGTCTGGTTCCTTTATATTCACGATTTTAGCGCAAGATGCTTAGTTTGAAACTGTTTAAAACTATGATGTACAAAATGTAATTTTAAAAATTAAATTATTGATTGTTAAAAAGTATGACTGCTTCAAATTATTATTATATTTCAGAAATAAAACTACTGCTTGTTACGTCTCCAGCTGCATTTAAGAGGCCGTGGTTTGGCCATGTCTGATCTAGTTTTTTCTCACATAGACTGATTAGAGAATTTCCTCATAACTTAATTTTATTTTAGCAGTACATGTAATAAACAGTTTTTATAAGCCAATCGTATTGTTAAAAGAATCTCCATTTTTATACGAGTATCTTATATAATTAAGCAACAAAATATCGTCTAGAAATGGATTTTTACACTTTCTTTTCTTCCCTACGACGCTTATTTATCAAAGTAAATATTGGCACGTGCATATGGGTTCAGAATAGATTGAATGCACACAGAACCAAAAATAGCTTGATAAAATTTGTTCTACCAAAAGAAACACATCGAAGTTCTGGAACTTTCCACAGAAATACTTGTACGGCTTTTCTCACTATCACAAAGAACAGTCAGTAATTATATAAAGTATTTCGCCCACCTTCTTAGCATGCCTTCAATGTATAATGGTCAGCACACTCGGCGCTTATTCAAGAGTTCCGAGGTTCGATTCCAAGAAAGGGCACTGCTCAATTTTCAAGTCTTTTGCTTCGAAATAACCTAACGTCTCTACTGTTACACTTCAAACTGCTAAGAACGTTAAACACAGCGAAATGCAAAGCACATCTAAACAGCCGAATCTCCTACGGAGATTTCTTAATACTCCAAACTCACGTTGAACTGAACAACTGAGAAATTGTATATATATCAATATCGGTAATGTTATGCCGCGATATTGCGAATTTCGCAATGTGTCCGTTTCGTTAAAAATCTTATCCTAAAGGCTTTTCACCTAAAAATGCATCAAGTGAGATTCCCAGAACAGAAAAACAAACATTTTCTCCTGCTCTCCACGGTCTTATGTATTTTCCTCCTGCCCGCCCAGAGATTTTCAATACCTTCCATTTCTCGAAATTAATGTTGCCGTCACACATAAGGCCGAATGCAGTTACAGTTATAAAGTCATTTAGGCCAATTACAGTTACACAATTTGCCAAGGGTGGCGACTTTTGGGTATATTTCGCCAAATTTGTTGACAAAAATTGCCAAAACCATCGCCAGCTCAGAGAGATAGCAATTTACCTCAATGTTAAAAACACTTGCTTCTGTAATCTTAGTTTTAAGGCAAAGCTTCGCATTTCTTGAAGCTGTTCATTTTACATTATACAAAATTCGCAACAATATTGTTGCTTTTTTTTTATTCTTCTGACACCAGTTGTTACGTTATTTTCTTCCTTCACGTTGGTACGGGGTTCATAGATTTGGAGTAAATAACAACGACACTTGATGTAGTATCGAAACACACTTTATTTAGACAATATTGTCAGCAAAGCTCCAAAACATGTTTTACAATCGTCGATGAACTACTATAAACACTCTGACACGATCAGCGACACAGCCTCAGGTTATCAGGCTATCACGGTGGAGACAGCTTCCTGCAAAGCACCCGACTCTGCTTGGTCGTTCTCGGAACTCCACGTACTCTCGAGACTCTCCACGCTACAACTCACGATGCACTCGACGACACACAGAGCACAGCTCCTGACTGTCGTTTCCGGAGCTCAGCACGCTCTCTCGACGATGCACTAACCGCGATACTCTACGACACTCTTTTCGGTGCACTCGACGACTCACTCGGCACTCGCTGGCCGGCTGTCAACGCGATCGCCTCCTCAGGGATTGACTCGCTGGACGAGACACACTCACTCGATGAGAGACGCACACTAACTGACTGCGGTCCAGCAGGGTTTATATAGCTTTTGGCTTGTGTTCGAGAACATTCTGGGCTAAACCGGTAAGAATTCGTTCCAGAAGGTTCTCCAGCCATCCATGGTATATCGACAGTTTTGTCGACAAATATCGCCAAATGGTTGATTTCTCGCCAAATGTGGCAACCCCGCCTCCCCTTGCCATTTTATGGCAACCCTAAAACTGCTTTGCGGGGAAGCCATCTTACCGCGCCTTGACATTTTGTAACAATATTAAAATTCATTTTCATAAAGTTCGTAGAAGAGTTTTTGAATATTTCGCAGTCTTTCAGTTTCATGTTTCTCTAGGAAATCACATTTTTTCCAGCAATGAGAAATCAAAAACTTTTGTTTTCCATTAATTAGAACATTTTGAGAAGGACTTTGGTACGAACTGTGAATGATTACAAAATATTGTTTGTTTTCTTCCTTCTGGAGAGATCATGAAATTTATAAATAACCTGCAATAAAAAATGTGTGAAGTATCCAAAAATATTCCCTTTAACATTCGCCAAAAATTATTTCAGTTTTTTTTTGTAAATGATGCATCTTTTCACCGTAAGAGGGCGCTGTTACGCTGAAGGAGAATATTTTAAGTGTTTAAGTTATATAATAGTTGTAGCACCATTGCGCTGTTGCTGTGTTAATGTTTGTGTCTTGTTGGTGTTTTTTATTAAAATATAAAAGGAAAATGTAGTCTCTTAAATTTTTTCGCACCAAAATAATATCTATTTGTCAATAAACCAAAAATGTCGTCTTTCGTGTTCGAATCGCAATCGCCTTTCCGAAACCGAAACAGTAAATAAGAGTAGCAACAATAAGAAGAAAAAGCTGTAAACTCGTTATTACCGAAGCACAAATAAATTGTCTGGGACCAAACTGTATAAAGTATGTCATTAAGGAAATCAATTATTTTCAACTACACTAATGTTGTAAGGGTTTATAAAAAATATTAATTAAATATATTTCTAAAACAAATAAAAAGCTGAAAGTTTTTAATGAGTGAGTACATTATTTTTAACCTGCCTAACCAGTTACAGTGATAAGAATGAAAGATAAAGTCCTTATTGATGCGTCGAATGGTGATAGTTCTCAATGCTGGCAGTTTATCACCCCAGGTTAAAATTCTCAGCATATGATTAGACGAAAGTTTGACGATACGCAATAGTATTGTCAGTAGTAGAAGTTTTTGTCTAATGCGTGTAACTATGGTTTCCTTAAAGGGATTAAGTTTTAATTTAATAATTAAATCCAATATACAATTTTTAATACATATACTTCTGCTATTGAAAATTGCATAACAATAATTCTACTATTTAAAAAAAAATATTTCCATTTTTATTTTCGCACTCATTTTGTAACACGTATAAAGAAAGAGATATAAGAAATTTATTAGTTAAATATCGAATTGTTTTAAAATTATATTAAATTTGATTGTGAATAATATCATATCATAATTCAATAATATTATCTATCGTTCATTCAGTTATTTAATGCATATTATTCATAATAATATTTCCTTTCTCTTGAATCTTTGGGAAAGGCAGAGTAAAATTCTTTTCTCGAAAAATGAAATGAGACATCTTAACCACTAGGCAAAAAGGATTTTCAAATAGTTTTAATTCTTAAAAACAGTAAATATGAACATCTAAGATTTTTTATTAAAATCTAGAACCCTTTCTATATAATTTAAATATTCTTACTTTGTCTGAAACATGCTTTGATTTCTTCTATTTCCTGAAAAATAAATAAAGATCTTATGAAAGTACAAGGGGTAACCGCATAAATATTTTCATTACTAAATGCGCAGTCAGTAGGATTCACAGTTAAAGAGAGTTATGTGAATGAAATGTTAACTACATTTGCTTAAAGTTATTTAAACAGAAGTTAAAAATTTTCTCATTTAAATTTTACTAAGAATGCACAAAATGTTTTTAATAAATGTTCGAAAGAATCCTTGCAGTTTATAACGAAAAACAAAATAATCACCTTAGTGTAAAAGGATTAGTTCTAAAGGTAGGAATTTGTTATTTTTGTATCAGTCAATGGCATAATTGTTATCACAGAATAAAGGACAAGAGTATACTTTCACTGTTTTACTCTAAGATAGACCTTTTCCGAAATGCAACTAAAATTTGCGCATTGAATTGAAAAGGACACTCCGCACATTTTCATGATTGTACGTATTCTGAATCATTTTTAACACTGGACTTTTTTCCGATCACGGTTTATATTTCATTTCTTATTTATTCTAATGTATGTATATAACGTTTTAAAAGTTTATGTATATGTCTGATCAACATACAAGCTGAAACACAGATATATTAACAACCGTGGCTTACTGAATAGATTTTGTTTCTTAAGATGCACGTTCATAACTTGAGCCTCGGAGCGCAAAAGGTGCAAACTTGCGACCATATTTTTTCTACCACATTTGTGAATTTATACATCATTACGAGATACACTTGAAGAAAGAAACGTAAGCGACAACTTTTTCGCAGGACATTTTGCCGTTTATCTAAGTTCGCAAGACAGCAGAGATGCGACATGTCTAAGATGAAAACTTTTCTCAGAAAGAAGCGATTTCAGTATATATTAATCCTTATTGGTTAATGATAAGTTTGCAAGGATCCTAAGTTTTATTAACGTTTATTTTATTTTGAAACTGTACTATCACTTCTTATTTTCTACTTCCGGCCAGAATGGTTATGTAGAGAAATTATCTGATAGCGTTATAAAAACTAGGTGAATGATTTTCTGATTATGGAAATTTAAATTTTATTTTGATTCTGAATTATTTATTTTAAGGCTTTAATTTTGGGGAAAAACAGATGCTTCTGGAAATATTATTTAGTTTAAATGAATATTATTTATTTTCCTCTATTTGCAAATCTTGTACAAACTTTTATTCATTGTGAAAGAAGCAGGGAAAGGGAGGCAATTTTTGCCAAGTCATGATTTCGCGCGCTTTGTCCTTTAGAATGTTCGAGAAAGAATTTTCATTGTTAGTTGACCTTAAGAGAGGAAAGTACGTGACAGAAAGGTCAAAGGTTGCTACTTGTCTTTCAATGTAAGTCATTCAGGTTTTTGGCGATTGAGGGTCCGGTTGTTGGCTAAGTGAAGAAGGGCGCGCATGCGCGATCACCCTTATTTCCGCATTCTGGAGTTGAAAACGAAGATTTTGCCATAATTAAGGGGGCGATAAGTGAAGCCAGAGTGGGAGCCCGCGTTGGTGAAGGAGACGAAGGAAATTCGAGTTGGATTCACTTTTTTGGCTGACTCTCGGACTGACTCGCTGATTTTCGGGCTTGCTGGACTTACGGGCTTGCTGGACAAAATGTAATTACGAAGAGAGATGTTTTCCGGCGGGGAGCGGCAAATTATGCTCCCCGGCCGCGTTTTGGTTAAGAGGCGAGACTCTGTTACTTTTTGACTCTCTCACTGCTTAGACGTTGCTCTTGAAAACCGGCTTGAAGGAGATAGATGTAAGTGACTACGAGAGGTGTTTCCCGGCGGGGAGCGGCAAATATGCTCCCCGGCCGCGTTTTGGTTAAGAGGCGAGACTCTCGCACTCACTCTTTGACTCGCGCACTTACTGGTTGGCTGGACTTGTGGATGTTACTCTTGAAAACAGGTTGAAAAAGCGAGAGAGAAGATGTAATTACGAAGAAAAAGGTTTTCCCGGCGGGGAGCGGCAAATATGCTCCCCGGCCGCGTTTTGGTTAAGAGGACTCTCTTACTGACTCACTGCTTGGACTCGCTGACTTTCGGGCTTGCTGGACTTGTGGACGTTGCTCTTGAAAACTGGCTTGAAGGAAATTCGAGTTGGATTCTCTCTCTTACTGACTGGCGGGTGGAACTTACTTGGGACGTTACTCGTGAAGCTTGCTCTTGGGATGAGTAAGAACAGGCGAGCCGTAATTGCCTAGAAACAACGTTTCTGACCTGAGGCTGAAAACCCTCTTCCTTGCGGCGTGCTGGTAAAGAGGCGAAATTTGAACGAGTTACCTGCGTGTTGACATAGGACTTTCAGGACCAAGCGGATAGCCGTCCTGGGCAGCAGTGCTCCTGTTTCTGTTCTCCAGTGGGAATTGGCGCGACATTTTTAGAACCAGTGTCAAGATGAGCCCGGCCGACATCAACGCTTGATAAGATACGAGTCCTCCACTTCAAGATGTCCCCTGAAGATAAGTTTTATTTTTTTTTTGGTTTGTTTGAACTTTAGGCAAGTTTTTCAAAAACGTCCTTAGCAGTAAAAACAACGTCGAATCTAAAATTGAACTCTCAGGCCTTAAATTGTTTCCCTTTCCTTTCTTTTAAATTACCAGACAAACCTTAAGTTTTTTTTTATGAATTTAAATGAAAAGACTCTCAGATGAGGTTAAGATTTTTCATATTGTGATGTAATTGAATAAACTGATATTTAATCTGGAAAACTATTACAGTATGTTTTCTTTATATATTTAATATGAACTTTTCCTTTATATCTTGTATATGTTTATGTTTTCGATCCTCTCACGGCGCGGTCCCGGGATGCATTTTTTTCACAACGCAAAAATGCTGTACACGTTTCACTATACGATCACTAAAATTTTGTTAGTTGGCAAATTCTTAAGAGTTTAGTTTTCCTCCCTAAGAGGAAGTAGAAACCTTTTCACGGCAAGTGGTTTCATATTTAACATTTAACATATAGGAGTTTCAGATATAACATGGTACCTTGAAGTAAAACTATTTAACCTTGGTGGCGAAACTTCTATATAACATTGGTGCCGTGACAGAAACTTAACATAACACTGGTGCCGTGACCTCTGCTTAGTGAAGGATCGAATCAGTAACTGATTTTTTTGTAATTTATTTATTTAGTAATTTACTGTTTTAAGAAGGTGTTAAATTTTATGTGCTAGGATTAATTAGAGTTTTTGATTTGTGTTTGCTTATTTGTTAATACGAGAGTGATAAAGCTTGAAAATGTGTGTGAATTTCAGGAATTTTGGACTTTAACGTTAGGCAAACAGAATTGAACTTTAAAATTAGGAAAAATATATTTTTTTTAATGTAGCAGAATAGGTACTGTACATTTTTACTGTTGAAAATCCTTGAGTGTTTTCTAGATGTGTATTTTTGATTTTCGACGTACTGATTTATGATACAAGATGGAAAATGAATTATTTCACGATAATCCTATGCTATTTGTATATCCTTGTAACAAGTTTCGAGTGCTTGTCGGTAAAAACTGGACTCATTTTTTGAGCACTTCTAAGAGAAAGAGATTAAAGACTCTAATTATTTTACTGAATGAGACAAGCCATAGCTATGCGTAGCTAGAAATTTTTTTTTTTTTTTTTGTGTGTGTGTTTTTGCTAATTATTTAACCTAGAATCTTGTGAAATGTGTAATTGTGAGGGGTAACGTTAGAGAAATTTTGATTTTTTGACTTAATTGAATAATATTTTGTGAAATGTATGTAATGTTTTCATGATTGTCTAGTTTACCAAGTATATTATTTTTTTGATTTACAATGTTTTGATATGATTCCAGTATATTGTGTAATGTGTTAGAAAATTTAATTTAGTATTGAGCAATGAATTTTATAAGTTTCTTAAGGCATAATGATACAAATGAATGAGTTAGAAAAATTGAAGTAGATTTTTTTTTTCAATTGCAAAATTCTGTTTTAAAGTGAACATGGGTTAGATTTGGAATTTTTGCCTGAGATCAGCAATAGTGATGTTTGGTTGCATATTTAATTTTTTTTTGGATTGAATTCTTCAGCTTGAGTGAAGTTCTAATTAGTTTAATGAGTCAGAGTAATTGAGATTAGTTATCTTCTGAGTTTTAAGTTGTGAAGAGTTTGTGAAGTTGTCATGTGAGAATTGTTTAAACAGTAGAAATTTAGTCTTGTGAATTGTAGAAAGTGAATTTTAATGAGAATTTTGTGACAACGGGAATTTGTTTTGTGAAAATGTTTTGAAATAAGTTTGAGAAGATTAGTTACTTTTGCTCTGTACTCATGTGTGGGAATTTTCTGTTGATTACAAGTAGTTTGTCTTGAATTTGCTAGTGAATCGTAATAGATTTGATTTGAGTTATTGAATTTTCTTTCTTGGTTGGACTTGTTGCTGAATTTGGGGTTAATTCTTGTTTTGGCTTAAGTTTTGTATTTGAATTGGTAGTATCAAGATAGTTGTATCAGGTTTTTGTTTTGTTTTTGGTGGTTACTGCCAAGGTCCGTAAAATGTAAGTTCTCTGATGTTTAGTTTCTGTGGAAGAATTGAGATTTCTGTGGTCATAGGAAAATGGTAGAATTTGAGTTATGGATTTGATTGTGTGATTTTTAGGGAGTTACGAGTTATGAGTATTTTTTTTTTTTAGTTTAGCACTTTTGAGAACTTTGCATTTGTTGCTTGCAGTTAGGTCTTGCGTGAAGTTGTAATGTCCTGAAAGCTCGTTTTCTTGTAAATACTTGCACTTCATGGTGGCACTTGACCTCTTACACCGGGGGCAAACAGGAACTTGTTATCTGAGAAGACTATTGTTGTATCTTTTTCATTGTGTTGGTTCAGGAATTGTAACGTTTCAGTCAGCGCACTTTTCTTTCCGAGATAAGAGATCTTATGTTCTCTTTCAACGTGTCTGGAGGTTTGCTTGATACGTAAAGTTTGAGTCTGTCATTTCATAATACAGCGCTTTTCTCAGCTTACATGGACGCGGTAAAGAGTTACTTTGTTTCTTTTGTTTGGGTGGAGGTGTTGCTGAAAGCTGCTACTTAGGTTACTATACAACGTTTTGGAAAAGTCTGATGCAGAATAGATCTCAGTTTTTGCCTAAAATTGGGG